CGATGAACAAACTCAGACAAAGAACACAGTGGATGCACGGACATTCACAAGCAGATGAATGAGCAGACATGCTCACAGCGGGTAGGTACATGGATGATAAATAGGCTGGTGGGATCAGAGGTCAGAGACAGGAGGGCAGGCAGACAGGCTCTCAGGATGCTGGGATGCCCACTTACGGCCTTCCATGTACAGGTGTGGTTGTTCCCCTGCCGGCAGCAGTGCTGGAACTCCCCCTCCAGCCGGGTCAGAGCCTGCAGCTGCCTTTGGATGGGGTCAGTAGCTGGGAGGTTGTGTGGCACACAGCAGAAGCGTCTTAGGTGGCAGATGTTCTTGATATTGTCCAGTGTGGGTAGCCCAGGGGGAAAAGGCAGCTCAGGACCCGAGGAAATACCAGGCTGGTGGCTGGGGCAGGCCTGGAGCTGGTAGTGTGGCCGGGGAGCTTCGTCTTGGAAGCAGGAGAATCGAGCCTCCCCCTGACGTTTGCAGCACCAATGGGGTCGGGTCTTAACAGAAAACTCAGCCTCACAGAACCGGGTCATTGCGTCCTCCCACTAGAGCAAGAGGAGTAGATCAGCCTGGTAGCCCACTCTCCACATACCTGTTTTCCTCCCAGACTCCAAAAAGGACCCTGGGTATGCAGCTAATAAAGAGGCAGAGGCTGTCCTCTGCTCTTCTGGCACAATGAGGAGGCCCAAGGTAGGGCCAATGAAAGGGACCTGAGGTTCCTGCATACCCAGGCCTAGGCCTCTAGTCCTTGAAACACACACATACTGTCTGGGGGTTAAAGGACATCCCCAGGATCAAGAGCCCAACCCTTACCGTGACTTTCGCACAGTCCAAGCGGTTTGTGTAGCTGTGACAGCGGCAGCAGCGGGAATATCCAGTCTCCAGGAAATTGAGGGTCTCACCCTGACGAACAAGGTGGGAAAAGCCAGTCTGTGGCAGGTTCCAAGGGCCGTACACCACATGCTGACGATTAGGAAGGCAGATCTGGTCCAGATTGTCCGGAGAAGGCCGCCCAGGGGGGAAGCCATCCAGCCGGTGGCCCCAGCCACCTTGGTGTCGGCCCTGTTGGCAGCGCTGGGCTGGATTTGAAGACTCAGGCTCTGGGGGGCTGTGGTCCATGAAGGGAGCCAGCTTTTCTAGAATGGGGAGAACAGAGTGGGAAGGGGGAACATGCAGAGGGATAGAGAAAGGCTGGATTGAGTTGGGAGGATTGAAAGAAGTTGGGGTTGAGGAGAAAGTGTTGGGAGGATATAGAGGAAAAGGGGACAAATGAATTTGTGGCTCTTAACTTCAGAATGACTGACCAAAAGGAAGAGACCTGAGTCATGAAAGGTGTCACCCTTATAGCTCCCTGACCCCGAATCACGCCTGCTCCCTTTGCTGCTTCCCAAGGCTCAGAATACCTGCTCCCCCACCCCACTACCCCGACCAGGGTCTGAGCATTAAAGCTGGGGGATGAACAGACTAAAGCTGTCACTCACTCACTCTCTGCTTAGATTGGAAGGTCATCTCCTCTTGATAAAGGAAAGATGGGTCTACTGGGGTAGAAGGAGATGCATAAAACAACATTCATGTTGGGACGGGCATCTCTAGAAGACAGGCCAGTTCCCATTCATAAAAAGTAACTCAATAGGGCTTCCCTGGTGGCGCAGTGGTTGAGAGTCTGCCTGCCGATGCAGCGGACACGGGTTCGTGCCCCGGTCCGGGAAGATCCCACATGCCGCGGAGCAGCTGGGCCCATGAGCCATGGCCACTGAGCCTGCGCGTCCGGAGCCTGTGCTCCACAATGGGAGAGGCCACAACAGTGAGAGGCCCACTTCAAATAAAAAAAAAAAAAAAAAAAAAAAAGTAACTCAATAGAGGGACTTTCCTGGTGGTCCAGTGGTAAAGAATCCGCCTTCCAATGCAGGGGACGCGGGTTCAATCCCTGGTCAGGGAACTAAGATCCCACATGCCACAGGGCAACTAAACCTGCATGCCACAACTACTGAGCTCGCACGCCTCAACTAGAGAGCCCACGCATTCTGGAACCTGCGCACCACAACTACAGAGCCCATGTACCCTGGAGCCTATGCGCCACAACTAGAAAAGAGAAAAAAACCCACATGCCACAACTAGAGAGAAACCTGCATGCCGCAACGAAAGATCCCGCATGCCTCAACAGAGATCCTGCGTGCCGCAACAAAGACCCAACGCAGCCCAAAAATCAATCAATAAATAAAATTTAAAAAAAAAGAAATAGCATATGCTTTAAAAAAAAAAGGAACTCAATAGAGAAGTGAGAATAAATGCTACTTTTGTGTCATGTAATCTTATAATTTTATAAAATAGGTATTATTTCCCCAATTTTACAAATAAAGAAACTAAGGCTTAGAGAGGTAACTTACCCAAGGTTATTACACAGCTAGTAAGTGGCAGAAGCCCCAGAGCCCATGCTGTCAGCCACGGGTAGGCAGGAGGGTAAAGAGGGGAAGGAGTCACTTACCTTCCTTCTGTTCAATAGGGACCTGGGGAGGGGACAGCTCTTCTTGTAGGGGGACGGCCTCTTGAGGGAGAGGCGGATCCCCTGCAAGATAGGGGTGAGGACACAAAAGAGCAAGGCTCAGGCTGATGTCAGCAAGATGTAGTGGGTGGGAGTGAGGGAAAGGGCAAGCACTCACCTTTCTTTTCCACAGGGAGTTGGGGAGGGGGCAGCTCCTCTTGGACAGGGTTGGCTTTCTGAGACGGAGATGGCTGTACTACAGAAAGCGGAGTATGTATGTAGCCCACTCCTTCTTCCCCTCCCATTCTGAAGATCAGGAAGTAAGTCAGACTAGAAACCTAGAGGTGCAACTGAGACTTACCTTCACTCTGTCCTTCAAAGTGAGGGCTATGCTGAGAGGTGTCGGGGTGATCCATGGGGAGAGCTCTGGTCAGAGGTGGGGAAGGGGGTGCAGCATAGCCAACTACCGGCAAGAAGGGAGATGGTCAGAGCCTACATTTCCTCCTGGAACCCCAATCCCATGCCACTCCCCCAAACTCTTACCTTCTTGAAAGGGGTGGGTGAGGTGCACTGGCCCCAGCTCCCTCTGCCCTGAAGCCTTGCTACCTGGAAGAGGAACGGTGAGTCAGGGGTGGTTTCCCTTTCCTGGCCCTGAGCATGGGAAGGGGAGGCAGTAGAGGTTAAGAGAATAGAAAAGATGACCAAGACACCAGAAGCCTCTCTGTACTGCTCCTGCCCCATGTCCCCTAAGCCACCCCCCAAACACACCTGGTCAAGGCCGATTGGGTGTGATAATCTGACAGCCTCACCTCTACCATGCTCAAAGCCTTGGGTCTCCCAAGTCCAGGCCTAAAGGGAGTGTGACACATGGGGCTGGGGAGGAAGGCCTTAATCTTGTGTCAGTGTCTTTCCCTTACAGCTTCTGGGCTCTCTCCACAGTCCAGACCTTGAACTGGCTGGAGCCTCACCTGCCATCTCCTCCACCCTCCTGCCTACCACAGGCCCTTTAAACATCTTTGGGCCTTCCGGTAAGGAGCCCACGCAGAAGTTGAAGTGCCTCCCCTTCAGCCAGTCTCAGATCCCCCTTAGTTCAGGTCTCAATTTAGGACCTGGGAAACTGGGATGGTTCAGGACTCCTGAGGCAATATGGAGAGCCCACGCATTCTGGAACCTGCACACCACAACTACAGAGCCCATGTGCCCTGGAGCCTATGCGCCACAACTAGAAAAGAGAAAGGCATGTAAGAGAAAGCCACAGGGAAAGTAATCACCTGTAGCTGATCTGCAGTCACAAAAGACCAGGACCTGGGAAGGACAAGACAGGGCCTTCCAGATAGATTAGATCTATGACCCTCATGCAATACTTTCCCACAGTAACGTTTTGTTTGGCATCCAAGCAGATAACGTGTGTGTGAGCTAGAGAGTGGCTGTGCCTGGTCCCCTGTAGATGGATGATGCCCTCTCTTCTCCTAACCAGGTAGGGAGCCAGTCAAGGCTCTCTGGGTCAGTAGACTGGTTTTGAGCAGCCTGGGAGCTCCTCTTCTCACTTCTGGCTAATAGGTGCCACATATACATCAGGCCCCTCACTCTGTGAATCCATCCATCCCCGCAGTTGTCCGTTTGACTCCAATATGTGTTTCTTGGCAGCAATCTCTAGCAACTCCTTTCTTTCTGTACCCCTGCTCCCCTCCCTGGTTAAAGGCTCCAGTGCCTAGGCTCACCACAGGCCTGCTCAGAAAAAGGCAGCCAAATGGGGCATCCTTTTGCTGGTGATGAGCCATCTGGGATGGTTGGACCCAGGCCCCAGGCCCATGCTGGCCAGGCCCCCTTTCCAAGTGCTGGCTCTGACCCCAACTCACCTCCCTTAGAGGCTACAGAAGCAACAGCTAAACAGGCCAAGACCAAGGCTGCTCTGGACGTGGTCCCCATCCTGGGGCAAGGACTGGTCAGCGGCCACCCAAGTAGGTCCTCTCAGGCAGATCTGATTTGAAGAGCCGGGCTTCTGGAAACCTGCTTTTCCAGTTGCTGTTACTGCTGTTGTGAACTTCAGGGCTGGTTCCTTCTCCTCTTTATAGTCTATCTGGGGATAGCTACCGCCCTCCTCAGCATCCGGCCATGACTCAGTCCCAGCTGCTCCTCCTCTGGCAGACACTCCTCCCACACACCCTGAAGGCTCCTGACAGGACTGAGAACAATGGTGAACCCAACCCCAAGAGAAACTGATTCTGAGAATCCTGGAGCAAGAGAGGTCTGAGACTTTGTTTTGTGCCTCAATTTCTCCATTTGGCCTTCTTTGGAGAATGGATCTGACAACCTGCTGAATTGGGGCTGGGGAAACAGGGCACTGAGGAGTTTAGACAGGGGAACAGGACAGCTATCCCAGGGAGCTCCCCGACCAGTGAGAGCCATGGGCTGCCCCTTTTCAATTACCCCAACCCCCTAGGACAAAAGAGTGGGAGACAGAGTCAAACTCCCTTTTATGTCCCCATCAGGAGTCAGAGATGAAGACACATTCCCAGTAGCTTCAAGTTTATTATTTTTAGTTTCACTCTCCTCACATCCAAACAGCTACAGCTTCCCCCAGACCAAATCTCTTTTCATGAGAGCAGATTCATGCCTCCACACGAGTTCTGAGGGGTCTGGGGGACTTCAGACTCTTGGCAGTTAGGTTGGGCCCCTCCGTGTTAAGGGGGCCTGATAGCTCCTACAGGTCTTTGCCACATCTATACACAAAAGCTCAGAAAATTTCTTCAGCATTTGGGACCCTGGTGTTCTGTAGCTCCAGTAGCCGCTGTACAGCCTCGGCCAAGTCCCATTCCCCAAGTCGACGATTATCTCGAGTCCGAATGTTCACTGTTCTCTCACTCTGCTCTTTCTGGCCAACCACTGCAGAAAGAGGGGAGGTTTGCGAATCTCAGGGCAAATTTATCCAGAGGATATCTCCTTTTGCTATGCAGAAATTTAAGAGACCAAAATCTTTAGGAAGAGCAGAGCTCAGACATGGTTCCGGGAAAGGATATATTTAGCTATCTCTTGCTCTCCAGTTCCCTGGTCATCCTGAGGAGATAAAGAAATATTCCAGACATTCTCTTACATGCCTTATCACTTCCACTCAGGATCCCAGGGGTCAGAGATAGTAGGGTCAGCCAAAGAAAGACAAACAGATCAAGAAGCAGATCCACAGAGAGAGAGAAAAAGAGAGAGAGAGAGCGTGCATGCGTGTGTGTGTGTGTGTGTGTGTGTGTGTGCGCGCTTTAGAGAAAGGGGAGGGTGGCAGGGTGGATGACACACGTGCAAGTCCAAGGGATCATGGGCAGCTTGCTCCAAGGCTGGCAGGATGAGTGGATGTGTAAAACTAGAGAACCAGGTAATCTGGCTGAGACGTTCCTACTCCTTGTCTTCAAGACAGAGCTCTGAACCTTGGAAAATGAAAAAAAGGAGCAAGGTAGGCCTAGACTATTTTTCTTAAGGCCTTTCTCCTCATCCCTTAGGGCTGACTCTATCTAGGTCTAGAATAAGCAAAGCTAACTAATTAACGCCTTATTAACCCTTCCTGTTCCTTTCTGATGCTCCCTTGGCTAATTACTAACAGACACCAAGAGCTAGGGCGGGGGTCAGAAGAAAACTGTTCTGAGGGTCAGAGGTGCTGGTCAGGGGGTGAAGGAGCCTAGAGTCCAAATGGCTCAGGAGTTCTGAATCCTGGCTCCTGCCCAGCTCAGGTAATGAGCTGCAATTTACCCAAATATGCGGATGACCAAACGTAGTAGACAGGGAAGAACAACATACAGGCCGAGTGGAAGAGTGCAAGGCTCTGAGGGCTGTGCTAACCCTGTCTTACCGAACTGAAAATTGTAGTGGGCAAGCTGAGCCCGGCGGATCCTCCGGCCGAGGGTCAGTCCGGAGTCAGCATCCAGGTCGCCAACCAGTCCTGCAGCTTGCAGGCTCCGCTGTGCCTGGGGCAGAGGATCATTGACAGGAACCTGATTTAACGGAAGGCTGAGGAGCTAGAACAGTCTGATGCCAGTTTTCCCCAAGCTCCCCCATCTGCCCCTCCTTCCTTTGCCTCAAGGCTCTCCAGTTCTCAGAGACAAACCCTCCTCACTCTCTACACTGAGGCCTCTCCCCAGCCCCACAGCCTCCTTGTCGGCCTCCTCCTGGAGCCAGGCCTCCCTGGACGCTGCCTGTTTCTAGACACCACTCTACCCAACCAGCTGCTTGACTCTAGTACTGTCCATATCCTTACTTCTCTCTAGAAAGGAAAAATAAAACAAACATTTCTCCAAGGCCCCTTTTGTGCCAAGTGCTCAGTTGTCAGCAATCAACATTTATTATTTGAGTGCAGTCTTGTGATTCCAAGTGCCGTGCCCCTTTCACTACCCCATGTGGCCTCTGCTACCCACTGCTCGTCCCCATCCTCACCCCCAACTCCTCACCTCCCTGGCATATTCCTCTTGCTCAGTCCCCACAGGTATGACCACCACCTGGAATGGTGACAGCCATAGTGGCCTGATTGAGAGAACAGAGGAAGGCAAATTATTTATCCTGGCTCAGACTCCAAGTGTGGATGCAGGGAGCAGATTCTAGAAGGAAACAGAAGTGGAGTCTGAAGGGAGCCAGGATGTGGAGCACGCACTACCTGGCTTGAGGGCCAGAACAGGAATCGGGAGTCAGAGGTCTCACCATTTTCCCCCGCAGCTTTCCGCCAGCACTCCCAACATCCTTTCCACAGAACCTAGCACTGCTCGATGAATGAGGACTGGACGCTCCAGGGCCCCCGCCTGCCTTGGAGGGAAAGGGGGGGGGGAATGGATGGAATGGAAAAGTGTCAAACAATGTGCACCCAAGATCACCTTCCAGTTTCCAAGAATCTTCAGCCCTGGCAAGGGAAGGTGTGGAGGATGTGGTTTAGTTTTTAGGGTCAAAGGCAGAAAGGGAAGTTGTTCTCCACCTATTCCACGGGCCAAGGGAAAAGGGGACAGGACAAGGTTCTGTACCCCTTGTACTGGAGGTCAAATCTCAGGGGCAGTTGGAAGTCAAGCTGGATTGTCCCACACTGATGGGGCCGACCCAGGGCATCGCGGAGGTGCACGTCAATCTGGAGGAGACAGAAGGGAGGACATGAAAGAAACCAGAACCAGTATCCTCCATTATGCGTGCCACCTCCTTCTACCTAGCCACGTCCCAGGCTGTGTGGAGAGACGTGTCACCCAGCTGCATCGTGCTGCAGACTCTGGCGGTGGCTCTTTCCACTTAATAGTGGTATATTATTAGGGAACATCAACATTCACATGAACGGCCCACCCTCACCCTGGCCTCTCAATTCCCTGAGTTCCTCATCTCAGAGACCTTCATCCGCACCCACACTATGGCTACATCCTTCATGTTGTCATCGCCCAGAATGGCTGCACCTCTGAAACAGTCCATCAGACACCTGCTCTGATTACTATCTCTTGTCCTTCCAGCTCTGACAATTATTCCTATTAATGGCTCTTCAATCTCTCGGCTCCTTAACTCCTCATTTTTCTTCCCATTCACAGGCCTCTCAGCCTCTCCCACCCCTGTTTCTTTCCCCATGCAGCTGTAACCACTCTCCCTGGTTCCCTGGTATCACTGTTCTTCTGTCACATCCACATGACAAAACCCCACCCTGGTGGCACCCTAGCATCCCACCTCCTTGGCCCTGGAACAGAAGTGCCCAGTGCTGCCCAACACGCCACACACCACACAGACGCAAAAACAGCAACTGATGCAAGTCGCTGTTGTGAACCTCAATTGAACCCTTGCTGCTGCCTGCAATCCTCTGGCTGCCCTAATCAGCCCTGCATCCTGTTCTCCTCAAGGATTTTCAAGCTTTCTCCGCTCTTCCCATCTTCAACCCCCGCACTGACAACTCTCCTATTCTCCACTCCTATCTCAGCAAATGATCCTGCCTCCCATCTCATGGAGAATTCTGATAGTTGGTATCATGAGATGGGAAAATGTCTCAACTTCTGTCACCACACCTATAAATATCCTGGCACCTACCCCCAAGCCTTTCCTTCTACCCCCTAAACAACAGCACAGGTGCTTCTTTCTGTGAAAGGCTCTGGATCCCAACCCTCAAGACTCCCCAGAAACTTTCCTCTACTGAAACCCCTTCTACAACTTCGACTTCTCCCTGACCCAAACAGGCTCCCTCTCATCACAGCATTTAAACATTCTCAAGTCTCTCCCTTCATCAACATCTCTTTGGATCTGCCAGCTACTCTCCTTTGCCTTTATAAGAGCCAGTGTTCTTGGAAGTGTTAGGTTCATTCATTCACTTCTGACTCCACATCCAGTCCCCACTTTACTGAAAAATGGACCCTCAAAACCTAACAGCCTTTTCACTAAATCCAGCAGACACTTTACAGTCCTTTTCCCCCGACTTCTTTCACCTCTTCCAATTTGCCATGTGAGTTTTTACTCTTCGCCCCAGCCTCTGCCTACAACGTTCCCTCCCTTTTTTTTTTTTTTTTTTTCTGTACGCGGGCCTCTCACTGTTGTGGCCTCTCCCATTGTGGAGCACAGGCTCTGGACGCGCAGGCTCAGCAGCCATGGCTCACGGGCCCAGCCGCTCCGCGGCATGTGGGATCTTCCCGGACCGGGGCACGAACCCGTGTCCCCTGCATCGGCAGGCGGACTCTCAACCACTGCGCCACCAGGGAAGCCCCCAACATTCCCTCCTGAAGCACCTTTTTACTTGGCCAACGATTACCTTTCAGATCGGAAAGAGATTCCTATGGGAAGCCTTTCCTGACCCTCCTGAGTAACGTGCCCCCTTAGTACCTACACAGCACTGATCCCACGGTGCTGAAACACCCTATTTACCTCTCAGAGCCCTCACCAGACCTAAGTTCCATGAGAGCAGGAGATGTACTGCTCTTCTTTATGTCTTACACAAATTTAAAAACATTCCTTCGTATCTATTAAACAGTTAATAAAACAAAACAAAAAAAGGAATAAATAAGACTCTAACCACGGTCCCCAGCTTACCTTAGGCCCATAGAAGGCACCATCTCCAGGGTTGAGGTCCCAGGGTTCTCCAAATTCTTCTAGGGCCTGTTGAAGGACCTTTAGAGGAACGGATACAAGAGAGGAATATGTCATCTTAAACTTTATGAGCAACAGATCCCTCTAGTCCCCAACAGTGACCTTCTCAGCATACGCCTCTACCAGGGACCCTGATTCCCATCTCCCCTCTCCTTCCATCAGAGACTGGTTTATCTGCCTCTGCTTCCCTACCACCTGCTCACCTGCTCAGCCTGGTCCCAAAGGCACGGCTCTCCCAGGAAGCCAGATGGCCGGGTAGACAGTGCCAAGCGGAAGGAGAACCCAAGGACAGTGTAGACAGAGCGGAGGAAATCAAGACAGCCTCGGATCTCTGCTTCCAGCTGGGGGAATAAGAGCAGATGAGCTGTGTGCTAGCTAGAGCTCTGGGGTGGTGGTAGTTTGGGGAAAAGAGGGCAAAAACATAAAGGAAAGGTTGCGATAGAATGTAGCTAAATTATCATATATAAACAGGGCAACTGAGAGTCAGGAATGTTGGCAGTTCACAAGGAGAATGAAAGGCGGCTTAGAAATGCTCTGGTGGAGCTGGGGAAGGGCCACCTGATCGGGTGCACAGAAGATGTGAGCGTCATCTTGCTGGAAGCGCCGTAGCCGGGTCAGTCCCCCCAGACTGCCAGAGGCCTCGGCCCGGTGCAAGGCCCCGAAGTCGGCCAGTCGCAGGGGCAGCTCTCGCCAGGATCTGGGCCGGTGGGCGAACATCAGGCTGAGGTTGGGGTGGGGAGGAGTCAGGGCCACAGGGAAAACTAGCCCCTGAAGACTTCTCCTCCGCCCAGGCTGCTTGCTTCCCTTCTCTGCACCATCAGCTAACGCGCTCTCCAGCCTCGGCATGCCTGAGTCCTGTCAATCCCACTCATCACAATCTGGGCCCTGCCTGGTTCAAAAGTGAATCTCAGTAACAACAATAACAGACATCACTTACTGTGCCCCTGTTCTGTGATAGACACTGAACTGAAAGAAGAACCTTAGATACCAACTCCAAACCCCTGATATTACACATGAGGAGACTGAGGCTTAGGGAGGTGCAATGATTTTTCCAAATTCACATACGGAGCTAGAGGGCAGATTCAAGACTCACATCAAGTGTTCCAATACGATTCCAAGTTTTCTACAACTTAGTACTTAGTAACCAGGTGCCTAGCCCTAGCCCTGGGAGGACCCAGGTCTCCTGGATCCCAGCTCACCAGTGCGCAGGGCAGTTCATGGGCTTGAGGGCAAGCGTGCCTGTGGGATGGCTGGTAGAGTGGTCACTCTGGGAGCCGGCATGGCTGTCAGAGCCTGGGGGCTGTAGGGCAAACATGTCTTCCCGGTAATGCTCCCAGTGCCCTGACAGTTCCCAGAGTTTCGTAGAAAACAGCGTGGGGGTTTTCACTTCTGAGAAACCACGGCGGGTGTACTCGGCCTAGAGAGGAGGGTACAGACATGGAAGGCCAGAGTGACTAGGGGGAGAGGAAGCAGGATGGCAGCTGTGTGATTCTTCTGGGCTCTCAGGTCATGCTGAACACAGCTACAACCTAATAAGCACCATCCTCCCTCACTATGCTCCTCACTGTAGACCACACATTTCTAGGCCCTTGATAAAAATCACTAGCACTTTACAATATTTATGTTTAAACTTCTAATCCCCCTCTTTTAACACATGGCTTCTTCTAGGCCCTCGGTCCCTCCCCAGTCTTCCTTCCCCTGAACATGGGTCCTCCTTACCCTGATAAAAGCCACGAGTACATTATACACCCTTGTCCCTCGAGGCAGGAAGAAGCAGCTCCCGGGGCTCAGTTCATGGAAGAAGAAGAGCTCCTGTTCCTGGAGTCGGGAACGGCAACGGTCACTTCAACGGGGAAGCGGGGGCTTGGGAACCCAGAAGAGATAACTGACCAAGCTGCTCAGTCTGCGGGATTCCGAATGTGCTCTCAACTTCACAGTCAGGTTCCTTCATCTCTCTCCAACCCTCATCATCACCCCCACCCTGCCCCCATTTTCCTAGTCTCTGTACCTTCCCAATGCGCCGGTGGTCCCGTAACTCTGCTTCCTCCCTCCACTCTTCCCAGGCCCTCAGCTCCTCTGCAGTGGGGAAGGAAATCCCTGACACTCTCTGCAGTGTCTCTGGGGTGCCGGAAAACCTCCATAAGGATGATGAGTTCTGTGGGAGGACAAAGGGAGTCAAAGGGAAGATGAGGACAACCCCTCTTTCAATCCTCATATGATACTCTGAGCATAAGCATCACAGGTATGACAACGATCCCATCTCATCTCTGTCTCTACTCTTCCCACCACCACCACCAGGAGGATGGCCCCTGCCACCCTCCAGACACCCCCTGTCATGTATATCACCCCGGAGGTGCCTGAGCCTTGATTTCTACATATGTCCTGCTGAATTCTAACCTTACCCTGCCACCTCTTTTTGTCCCCATTCTCACTACCACTGCCCTACCAGCACCCGTGTACTTTGTTCCTTTCCCTTCTAATCAATGACTGCTCAGGGAAGTAACCCTAAGTTCTGGTCAAATATTAGTCTATCCATCCCCTTATCAATCTCCCATACAGCTGCTAGAAAACTCAGTCTCCCACACTAGGTCCTGTTCCTGGATCCATGAAATTCAAATGCCTCTGCTTGTTCTTTCCTTGAACAATTGTATGGTACTAATAAGAAACAGCCTGCATTTTATAGCACTTTTAACTTTTCCTCAAACACTTTCTCTTGCGTTAGTTGGTTTTGTCTCTATGATGTGGATTTACTGGTAGGACAGGAATCAACAGCTTCATTTTATAGATGGGGAAAATGGGTAAAGAGATTTACCCAAGGCCGTATACTTCATCAGTGGCAGAGACAGGACTAAGAACAGATGCCTAAGTTTTCAGTCCAGGGCGTTTTGCTCTGCACATCTGCCTCTCCCCTCTCTCTCTGCTCCTATTCCGACTAATAGCTCACCTTGCCCAGGAGCAATATTTTCAGAAAGGGCAGGCCTTTGACTTAAGAGTATTCTCTCTGTGGCTGTCAAATGGTGTTCCACACTGGCTCTCTCCACAGGCGCCTTCCCTACATGACCGTGTCCAGCCTGTTCATGCCCTCCCTCGCCATCTCCCTTAGTGCTAATGTCTGACTATGGACTCGGAATTGGCTTCTGGGCCCTGGCAGGGTGTCCAGTATCTGTCATCAGATGGAGATTTCTAAAAGGCAGGGGCAAAGTTTCTATTTGTGGATTGCCCCCCTTAGCTATCAGAGCAGAAAAGGGGTTGACAGAGAGGATCACCTTCCCATTCCCCAGCTCACTCCAGGGAAAACAGTAATCTCAACCTAACCCAGCCCTCACAACTGACCGATAGCAGCTTCAGGCCTCCAATCTGTCCAGTATGCCGAAGGTGGGGGCCTCTGCACAGATCAACCAACATACCACACCTGGGAGAAAGAAGGGGACAGTTAGTGACTTCCAGATTCTTGAGCTTCTAGGATTCTCCCTCTAGGGTGTTTAGCTGACAGAAAGAGACATAAAGAACTATTCCACAGAGAAAACAATGGGAGATAAAAATCAATTCCCATTTCTTTTTTGGGAGCAACAGATTACCTTCTATCTTCTTTCCCTTATCCCATTTCTGGCCTTTAGTGCATCCCCACCTCTCCCTGTTTTCCTCAATCTTGACAGCTCTCACCCATATACTGTTGCCGTTGGACCTGTCACTTTCTCCTCGATCAGGTTAAGCTTAAAGGGGTTATCCTGGAAGAAGGGAAGAGTGAAGACAAGTCTTTATTCCCACGAATAAGTCCTGAGCGAGAGCCATTCCTTCCCTCACGTCTCTAGATTATCCTCCTAAACTTGTGTGTCTCCACTCCACCTTGAAGAGCTGCCGAAGCTGATCCTGGGAAGCCTCTAGTCTCCGGAAGGGCTGAGCAGCAGCTGCAAGTTCCTGACAAATCCGTTCCAAAACAGGCAGCTCTGAGCCCTTGATTGTCCTGGAAAGATGAGGGTTGGTTGGCTTCCATCCTCTAAGGAGCATCACCTGGGTGTTGGTCATGGGATGAAATCCTGCCTTCCAAAAACATCTAAAATTATTGGCAAAGACAAACAGACTAGGGGAAAACAAATAGGAAATCAGGTACAAAGTTTACAGCTGGAGCAAAAGCTCTTTGTACGAAATTAAATGTTGTGTGCAGGCAATCTGGATAAAGAAAACTAGAGCAACAGTAATGAGGGATGAAGTAAAAGTTGAAGAATTCATAAAAGCTAGAGAAGGTAAGTTTCAAGCTGATTTAGAAAAGGAAAGACATGGACTAGTGGAAAAGTGGTACCTATGTCACAGTTGAGGTATGGAGGGACCCGCCCCTAGCTTTCTTTCTCCTCCAAACTGAACATGCCTGAGGCCCCAGAAAAAGGCCTCAGAAAACACCCCAGGAAAGAGGTACAAACTTTCAGTTATAAGATGAATAAGGTCTGAAAAACTAACGTATAGCATGGTGACTATAGTCGATACATTCTGTATTGCATAAGTGAAATTTGCTAAGAGCCCACCTTAAGCATTCTCACACACACACAAAGAAGCATGTGATAATTAACTCGATTGTGGGAATCCTTTCACAATGTATACATGCATCAAATCACCATGTGTACACTTTATATTACAATTTTATTTATCAACTATAGCTCAAAAAAACAGAAAAATAAAGTAAAATATGGTGAAATCTTTGAAAAAGAAACCACCCCAGAATCATTCTCCTCCTTCCTTGCACTACTCACCGTTCCTTTCCAAGGAAGAAATCATGGTAAAAGCCACATCCTGTGCTTGGACCTTGACAGAGAACAGCACCTAGAAGTTGTTCAGCTGCTGCCCCCAGGACATGGGTACTGGAGTGCCAGAATACCTGGGTTCACAAGAAAGGAGTTCATGAGTTCATAACCTTCTCCTTTAGCCCCTAGCTCTCGGATCCTCTCCTCAGAGAAGCTGGCATGAAACTAGTATGAATAACTATCACAAAATGGGGAACCTGACTTTGGGGTGACCACTAAATAGTAAAAAGTAAAATGAAAACAAAAACAACTGAATAGAAAAGAAAGAAGGCCACTAGAAGCAACGCACAGAAGAGAGTAAGCCTCACTCCTCAGTGCTTCCAGTTCTAGAGCATAGTAGGAGGCTAGTCAGTTTTCATGCCATCCAAGCTGACATGAAAAAGTGGAGAGGAGGCCAGGTGATGTGCTCGGTTGTGCAAGCCACATTAAAATTAAATACATGCTACAGATGACTTATAATGCATGTCTCAAGAGTTGGAGGGCTAACGTGGCATATTATCCTCTATTTTCAACTTTATATCTCTCCTTTTCACTAGCACAATGATCACTGCTTAACAGACCCAGGCTAAGTAAAAACTTTCACCCTAAGTTTCCAGCTTAGCCAGGAATAATCAAGACAAGCAATCTGCGGTAGGCCTCCCTCCCAACTGCAAATGGAGAAACTGAGGCAAAAGAAATAAATGCTAGAAGTGCCCACTTAAACATCTCTTCGTTTAGTAGCCACTGTGTCCCTGATAAGGAAGAAACTTACTGCTTTCCCCTCTGCAGAATCGAATGTCAGAAATCTGAGGTCAGAATCTGTCTCTAAGGGCCGCTCCAGATCATAAGGTTCTCCATTCACTTGAGCAGCCACTGCAGTATCTGCCAGTTTAGAACTTCAGCAGTGGGGGATGGGGAAAAAGAGAAAAACAAGGTTACCATCCAAAGGGGTAGAGAGGGACTAATCTCTTAGCAACTCCAAACTTGAAAGGGGAAATGTGTTACCAGAGGAACAGAACCTATCGTTGTTTTCCCCCATGCATAATAGAGGAAGGGCAGAGACTATGAAACTAATGCAGATTAAAAGGGATCAGCAGGAAACGCTGTCTTGATGGGAATGGAATAAACATACAGAGCTCTTTCCCTGCTCAAATCGAGAAAGTACAGAGATAGAAGTATTATCCTGGTAGGTACAGAATGGGCCTGATACCTGATCTGCTGGGCTAGTTGGTAAGGGGTTGTGTTCCATGCCACAGCATCCACTTTCTGGCCTCCAGGAAGTGATATCTTGATAGTCCGGTGTTCCTTCTGTGCCAGGCTTGCTAACCTCTTTACCTGAGCAGTCCATAGCTGCTCAAAAAGGCCAAGCCGCTCTACCAACCAGTGTGGAGGGGTCGGCACAGCTGCCTGGAGGGAAAGATGTTAGAAGGTAACACATGTCCCACCATTCCTTCTTGGGATTGGGGACGGTGGGAAATTAGAACATTTATGTGGCCGTGGTCCTAATCGCTAGTCTTTAAAAGGACTGGGTGATAACGGGTCCTAGGCTGGGAGCCCTAGGCCCCGCAGGCTGCTGACCCTAGGAAAAAGATGGCGCATCTAAGGGCTACAGTAGCCGGGTCTGGAGACGCAGGGCGGGAGTAGAGGGGGTCAGGCTGGGTTGAGAGCCTACACTTTGGGGTTCCGCTGGGCTGGGTCCAATGTGGTTCGGAATCTTTGGGTACCTCACGCACCGTGTGCAGCCCGCAGGCTTGTAACCCTGGGATCCGAAGCCGCCGCCACCTCTGACACAGCCCCATTTTCCTTCAGACCCGTCCTACATCCTCAAATAAATGATCGCCGCTTCTCCATCGCCAGATTCCTCATTGGCTTCCGGCCCAACAACGTCCATGCCTATTGGTTATTACAGCTGCCACTCCAGTCTGGGACCACCTCCAGGAACTCCGAAGAGGTACACCCCACACAGCGAGAGCAGCGTTGCGACTGGTTCCGGCTGACCGGAAGACCTAAACTGTTACACGTATGGGCAATTCCAGAGATCTGCAGTTTCAGACCAAAGTAGCAATAAGATATCCTGCGGCTTTGAGGGCAGGGGCAGGAAAATTCTCCAGAGTGCGAGCGGGAGAAAAACAGATTAGAAAGGGTAGTTATTTTCTTTTAACCATTTTCTTTTACGTAGTCTCCACTGGCAGGTAGGTAACAGGTAAAAGCATAGACTTTGGGACAAGACAGACGTAGTGTAAATCCTGGATCGCTATGTAATTTTGGGTAAATTAATTTCTAATAAGCTTCAATTTTCTTATCTATAAAATGGGAATAATAATAGTTATCATTCTGAATTGTTGAGGTTAATTTTATGTAAATCGCCTAATATACTGCATGGTACACAGTAATGGGCAACAATAGCTACAAGCTATGAGAACAAATGAATATAACCACTTCGGGGCTAGAGCGAAAAATCTGCAGAGGGCACTCCTTGGAGTCCCTTCATACTCATCGTGCTTAAATAGGGACCTTAGAAACCTCTTAATCTTAAAGATGAGGAATTTAAGGTCAGAGAAGGTAAGTGGTTTAAGGCCAAACAGTAAGCACTGACGCTGGATTCTGAATCCACATCTTGTATTCTTCTACCACACCAGACTTTCTCTGGTAATAGAGTTTACTCCAATGCAACTCCCTCTTCACTTCAGAAAGAAGTGCCTGACCCTAGAATCTTAGCTCTCTGCTTCCTACACAAGACCTTTGCCACTCATTCCCATCCTAGCTCTCAACTTCCTTTATCCCTTCTCTTCCCTCTCCCTGCTATATCCAGAACACAGTACTAGGTATATTTGATTTGTTTTACACAATAAAAATTGAAACACAACCAGATATGTAGTAAAGTATGAGGGGAAATGGATTTGGGGACAGCTGTGAGTTTCTCAGTAATTCCCATTAGTCCCCTCACCTGGGGGTGGGGCTGGTTGGAGTTGGTTCTCAAGTTTCCAATGGTGATGTTATCAAGGATTGTGGAGGAAAAGCTGTCAGAGAAAGATGTTTAATCTAAGTTTCCAGAGGTTCTGAGAGAGGCAGCAGTTGATCTGAGTCACAGGCACCACCCTGGATCTTGGCTCCATCCTGGTATGTTACACACCCTGAAATACAAAAAGAAATAAACAAGACTGTGGAAGAGGAAGATTACTTTTTGTGTGTGTGTGTATGTGTGTGTGTGTGTGTGTGTGTGTGTGTGTGTGGTTGGGAAAAGGTAGGGAGAATTTTTAAATGGCATTCAGAAAGTGTGACAAACTTTACCCATGGCTCTGCACCAAAAGGGACAGGGGAGTGTTACATTGCAGGCAACAAATTGGTAGCTGCTCAATAAATAATTATTGACTTAAGAATACACCAATCACTGTACTGACTCAAAAGTCCAAAGTATTCATATACTGATACACACCTCCTTCAATCATTCTACTTTGTAAGGATAGTAGAGGGATGGTGGAATAAGTAGATTAGTTATGGTAGCTCCCGGCACTCATCTCTCAAACATTTACTGACTGCTTACTGTGTGCAATGCACTGAGCTGAGTGCTCAGGAGGTGCCAATGAATCAACTACTATATCATCACGTATGTAACCTGTTTTGCAGTGGAGGGAGGAAGGAAGGGATGTCAAGTTATTCCATTCCTCCCTGTGTGGCAAGCAAGCCAGCAAGCAAGCAGGCAAAAGCAAGCTAGCTAAGGCCAACGCATTAAGCACTGGTCCTTCACAGTGATTCTTATCTATGACTAGCATGTCTCAGCCTCGGAATTTTACTATGTGCGAAGTACCATGCTTCACTATCTCATTGAACTCCTAGAACCCCGACAAGTAGTAGCTCTTCTTTCGCTCCCTTTAAAACATTGAAAATGACTCTCAGGCAAGTCAAGCTGCAGTCCGTCTGAAACCAAGGCCTGTGTTCTGCCATACTATGCTGTCTCTCAGGGACCAGGATAATCATAATGCATCATGTTTGGTAGCACAGCTTTTTGTCTCTCCAGGGTACACTTCTAGGAGCCTCTGGGGCCTAAGAGGTCTTTAATATAGGGTGGAGAAAAAGGTCCAATAGAAAGCCAAGAAAAGAGGCAAAGAGGCATCTTACCAAATATCCTCTACCACACTAAGGTTAAGGAAAAAGAAGAGTTTAGGAAATAATGGCAGAAGATTTCACAGAAGTCTAGGGAAAAGGGAATCCTCAGTAAAGGGTATACTGGACCCTTAATTTTGGGAAATTCTCAGCTTTACTCCACTTTTAGAATAGACATCCTGTTAGCTAAAGCTTTGGTTGAGGAGGTACTGCTTTTATAATGTTAAACTATTTGTAAGAATTCTCTCCATTGAAGGTAAAGTACATTTCCCACTTGTTATCAGGATCAACACATTACCTCCAAATCTTAGTTTTTAGAAGCAAAATTTCCCTGCACCAAAGAAATTTTAAAAGATATTGGAGGTAAAAGAGAGAAATATAAAAAGGTAAAATACATAAAGAAAGGTTTACATCATTGCCACCAAATGCTTTTGAGGCCCAAAGAACTAGCCAAGTGGTTAAGCCTACAGTAGGTACTGTGGGGAGTTTAGGTTAAAAAAAATTTTTTTTTCTTTAGTAATGAAGATCTAGGACGCAGCCAAACTTTAACTTTGCTTTAAAGATGCTACAAAGAGAAAGTCCAGCCAAGTTTGCTGAATAAATCAAGAGGGGGAAGCTTCCTACCCAGAGCATGGGGATAAATTGAACTTTGAAGACAAAACCTTTGGCTCACCTAAAAATCTCTACTAACATTTCCCTTTCCCAAGACATTTCTTGAGCCTGAGAAACAAGGAAACAGCCACCTCCACCCTGCCTTTTAAATGACCCTGGTTGGTCAGGTCAAGACCAACGGAAAAATATGAAGTCTCCCAAACACAGGAGTCAGTGCCAACTTGTTTGATACTGAAGTAAAAAAAAACCAAAGCAAAGAGCAAAGTACTCTGAAAGAAGGCCCTAGCTACATCTACGGAAGATTACATACAACTATGGCCCACTACCCAAAAAACCAAGATTTCAAATTAATACTTCCTTAATGTCTACTGCCTTTGACAATGATTGGCTACCTAGAAAATGGGACCTTAAGTATTGCCTCATGTGGATGCAAAGGATTCCTAGCCAGGGGAGGAGAAAACAGAAGGAACTGGATGCTGCCCATCTTCTTTCTACCCATTCCAACTGAAATACTCCAAGAAAAAAAATGTAGGAAGTTTCAAGTCTTATCTCCTTCCCACAAATTATGTGGCAAAGGACTTAATTCTCAAAAAGAAGGGGATCCAATGGGGAAGGGAAAGGAGGTAATGTGGTTGGAACATCTAATTTGCTAGGAACCTCAGCAGACCCAGGGTGTACTGGTTTAGCCAACACCCTTTTAAGTCAGACACAAACAACTGCAGCCTGTATTTGTTCTCTCTGTTGGCACTGCTCACTAGCCCCTCCACCCATATCTGTGTTCTCAACGTTTGACTCTTGCCACAGTGATAACAAAGGGAAAGGACAGGAAAAAAATAAAATAGAACCGTAAGGTAACTGTAATATCAGTTTCTAGATAGATCTCAGCCTTCTTATCCCCTTCCCCTCAAACTTGTAACTAAGCATTAAAGGTTTCTTCTGTGCTCCCCCAGCAGTTCGTCAGAAATTGATATTTAATTCTACATTGCACTTGCTCCTTTCCTTTAAGGCATTATGTGCTTCTTTCTACTTCTACGAGGGGGGAGAACAGGATGTTTACTTAGGAGCCATCTCACTTATGGGTATCCCTCTTGCAGCTTTGTCTGTGCAGACTCAATGAGTTATTACTCAGCAATTGTAAACAGCAGCTGACCGGACTTGTCCATACAGTTACTCATAAACAAGTATGAGAAACGCCTCAATACCCTAAAACCTACTCAGATAGTGTTTATGTTATTCTGTCTACATACATGAGGGGGTAACTCATTCCTTCTATACCATATTGGCTTAAATAGAACAATTTTGGGGAAGTTATGTATTTTCAACATGCTCAGAAAGGCTGATGAGGAATTCTAAAAGCTGTTGCTTCCTTGGGGTGAAGACAGGAATCAGGAGGGCAAGTCAAGGTCCCAACTGGGGACCAGGAAGTAAGGGTGAGCCAGATTCCAGAAGCAGCTGGCATAGTGGTACACCCTACCTGCTGGGTGTGTTCCTAGGCTATTTCCGAAGTGTCTGGTGACACATCTGTAGCTTCACGTATTCAAGGCTGCTATTTAGAGCATTCTACCCTGCCAGTGACCCAGCCTGGTCCAGACGCAGCAACTCTCTTTAACCCTTAAGCCAACATTCGATTTATTAAGCCTCCCTGGGTTATGAAAAAGGGATGGGGCAAGAGAGAGGGGTTGAGTGTAGCTTCTGTATGACAGACTGTCAATATGCAAGAAGGGCAGATGTGGGCAAAGAATTGACCAGAAGGATCCCTATCACCACTACCCCAATTTTATGTTTGCTTTAAAAATGCTTCTTCGCTCACGACTGTACAACTTTTTGAAGACATAACACAAGTTATCATCCATACAGTATACCCACTTCATTACCAACCATTCCCTGAACATCTTGATCTCACCCCACCCATCATCCCTTTCAAAATTGAATTTCATAAAGGATCAAAGAGAAAACCACAAGGCCATAAAGATCTCTCAAGAGGCTCAGACTGCCTTCAGTGACACTGAATGCAGAAGTCAAAGGGGACGACAGCTGGACAAGATCAGTGCGAGAGGGGAAAAGTCAACCACACAACAAAGGAAACCATACTTTATTAAACAGGAAACAAAAACAATTTTGGGGGCAAAGAGATTTAAAAAAAAAAAAAAGAGGAATGGCTGGAAGAGAGGGAAGGGCAAGTGGTCACAAGGAAGGGATGAGATGGGTGGTCTGTGGCATCTGTGTTTGCCTTAGAACCGTGCAGGCACATACACCAGCCCCTCTACCCTCCATGCACTCTTAGACCAAAAAGCCAATACAATTGTATCTTCAGAGATATATCCAGGCTTTTCTTCCTGCATTCTGTAGCTGGTTTCACCTTCAGCCCTGGACAGTCATGGAGGGTCTTTGCTGGAGAAAATTTAGGTCTTTCCAACCATAGGCCTGTTCCACAAAGCAGCGGTTTCAACTCCTGGAGAAGTTCCCTCCTATTGGCACTCACCAGAGAAGCCAGGGGCCCTTGGTCAAAGCCCCAGATCTCAAAGAAAAATGTCAAACCTTTAGAACTAGTTATTTTATTAAATGATATTAATACACATTTCAAAAGGATTTCATTGTTGTTGCCTCTAAAGCATGTACTTGTTTTGTTTTCCACACTGAACACGTGAGAATATCAATCCAACATATCTAATTTTAATCTTAACAGGCACCCCAGCCCATTCGAAAAAAGGGGGGAGGGGGAGGAGGGGAAGAAAAAGGGGGAAAAAGCAGTCATTTACAGCGGCTTCAAAACAATAACAGCTGAAGCTTAATTCTGCATGAACCAGTAACTTCAGGATTGATAGTGAATATTTTGCGATTAGAAGTTTAGCATATTCACATTATCTAGATAGGTTTGCTGTACCATATATATCACAAACATTGTACTCCTGGGATCGGAAAGGATAAAAGGCCTATTCTCTTATCATTTTACCCTCCCTGGAAACAAACCAAATTCTGTTTATTCTCAACTTTTGGGAGGGCAGAGGGGAGCAGGGAGACAGGTTTCATCTAAGCTGACTGAAGAATAAACTCTTACAAAATACTCAAGGACTCAATTTCTGATACTGTATCACTGTGTTTTAAGTGGTACCAGTGTATTCATGACCCCCACCCACTGATTCTCTGTCTGTGATTTTACAGTGAGCACCAAGGACGTTAGTAACAACTTCACATATTCTGCTTGCATATGAATCATGTCCTTGCCAAGATACACTATGCTATGCTTTCTTTAAAAAAATCTTGTTTATTTTTTAAACTCAGGTTGAAATACAAAAGTCAGAGCATGGGCACGGAGTTTTAAATCACAGACAAAGAAAGAATAAAACCCCTTTGTTTCATGTTATGAATACCAGAATTGTCTTTTTTGTTTCACTATATCACATATATACATTGTTGTCTTCATTTACTGCTGTAGACAGATTTCCTTAAAGTTAACAACAGCTGACAAGTCACATACAAATCCTCACTTCCATCTTGAAACAAATGCACTGAGGATTCTGTGGCTTAAAAAAAAAAAAAAAAACACTCCACAAAAAAACCAACCCTTAAAAGTCCATCTTTTAAACTGTACAACAAGGTCCTTCTTTCATGGATTAGCTATCATGCTTTTGAGGACAATAGCCCTGCCCCAACATTCAGGAAGCCACTGTCCTGACAACCCCGCATTTTCTGATAAAATCAAATGGTCAGAGAGCCTTTTCAAGTAAACACTACTTTTAGCTTAAACGAGAGCAGCAAAAAGAATTCACATTCTTTTATTCTAGAATAAAAAAACATCCCACTTTTCTGCAAAGGAAGAAAAATCCTATCCCAGTTTCGAGTCAGAGAGAACTCTCCCTTTCCCTCCCCCCACCCCCACCCTCACACTCTCTTATACTTTTCTCTAAACAAATGTCTTAGGACTCAATATAACTGTACTGTTTCTTTGCTTTGCTACACTATATACCCCACCCCACTTACAAGGTCGTGGTATCATGCATTTTTGCAGGGGGTGGGGGGGGGGAAGCTACAGGGCAGAGAGGCTTGAGAAGGTCAAAGAAAGAAAGAACAGTTGGCTTAAAACCAGAAACGCATTAGGAAGATGAATGACCTGCAGGATCCTAACCAAAGAAAACATGACGAGCCCAAATAAATAATATGGAATAAATTACACAAAAACTCCCAAACTATGATGCACACCTGGTTTAAGCTGCTCTTTATCTGAAACGCTCTTTATCTGAAAAGCAAGTTTCTTTTGAGACAAATAATCATCTTCTGTCACTACACTGCCCACTCTCTCCCATCTTTAATATTTCGCTGGAGGAATCCAGGGCAATCCCCATACTTCCTACAGTTACTCCTATACTAACTTGGAAGAAAATATGAAACTTGCTAGAATTTCCTTTTCTTTTACTCATCTGGCTGGAGATGACCAGTGTGTACCTTGGGGTAAGACACTAAATAAAAAAGAGTAGTAAAGCAACATTTGCCTTTCAGTGTCCCTAGATATAAACACTCAGAATGCAGTGATTGTCTTTTTCCCAGTACTAGTTGTAGAAATACAAATAAGAAGCCTTTCAGTTCAGGGACAAGAAAAGCATTCCTTTCTCGTGGAAAATGACTAAGGGCAGAAACATTATTTTCTATTGAGAGTGGGAGGTGAGGTTAAGGATTGAGCCTTGAAATGTGACAGGCTGCTATCTGTAGAGTGGGGTAAATTTGAATTTATCGGGTCCTCCTGTTTCTCTGTAAAGATACATATAATAATATCCACTTGTCACTAAGACAGATCTAAAGAGGTATAATATAAAGAAAGATGCTACTGAACTTCCTCCTTCGAAATACCAAGAAGAGGGGTGAATACAGGACTAGGTCAAGGGGAAAAGAAAGATAAAGACAAATATTTCCCTTTCCCTTGTAGTTAACTTTTGCTGAAAACTACCAATAAATGTCACTTACGTTAGGGAGGCACCATGGTAAAAATGTGTACTTATTAAAAAATACAGGGATAATATTTGATAACATTTCAGTTACACCTTCATATCAATTGTCAACTGTAGTGACTTTCTCTCTGGCTAAAGCAGAAATGAAAACTGAGGGAGGAAAAAGTCAAGAAAGAAAAGCAGGAAGCAAGAACTTGGTGCAAGATGTGTGAAACTACCTCAGAAATGTTTCCTCGTTTATGACAGATGGGCAGGTCACAACACACCATTTAACAGTTCCTTTCTCTAGCGCTCTATATTGTAGCTACTCCTTATTTTAAACTTTAAATTATATCCAGCCCCCTTTCTTTCACTCCAAGTATAAAGAGGAAAATTTTTTACTAGGATAAAATGAGGTCCGTATCTCCTCAAAGTTACTGCCTGATAGTACTTTAGAAGAGGAAAAAAAAGAAGAAAAAAAAAAGAAGCTTTAGATTTTAGGAGAGAGGTAAAGAACTCAACTGCAACATGCCTTTAAAAACAAAACAAAGCAGAACAAAACAACTTGACAGGTCCCAGGTCTCCCACATTTCTCCCCTGCAACATCTCCTGGCTGTCAGCAGGCCACAGAGCATACAGGGAAGAGAGCCACACTGGTTACAGCAGTAACGGAGCTGCAGAGAGAAGGGGACAGGAATCCTTCCACTGACTACTTTTGACATGCCAAGCCCAAAATAACATCCCAACATTGCACATGTTATTATCTGTACTGATGGAAGTTTTATTTCAAATGTAATAATACTCTTCCATAGATGGGGTAAGATACGAGCTGTTTTCCTCCCCACCCCTCAAACCCCCAGCCAAATGAAGTGGCTTTGGTTGTGTTTCTTTGCCCCCCACCCCCTTAAAATACAAACAAGTTGGAGAAGGTGGGTGTAAGTGCAGTGGGAGGCAGGACTGGATGGAATAGTGAAATGTGGGCATATGCACATGGGACTTTTTAATTTGGAAGGGAGGTCCTCTGTCATAATAAAAAAAAGAAAAAATAAATCAAAGGAGGGAAAACAAACAAAAACAACAATAATAAACCAAACTCCTACTTCCAATTCTCTCTAGACTGTTCAAAATGCCTTTCCCTTAGTTTCCATCAGTACCTGGGAGGGAAGAATGGGCGTTTTGGTGCAAAGAACGGAGGGCCCCTAGCGAAAGGTGGCCTGGGTCTCTTTAAACTGTGAAAAGGGTCTCTGCTGAGAAAAGGTTCCCTAGGCCGGAAGTCTGGCCGGGGACTCCGCAAGATCATACCACTCCGGCTGATGGCGTCTCTGTGTGAGGGACCCAAGGGGGGGCCGCTGCTGTTGCTGCTGCCTCCCCCACCTCCTCCTCCATGGGCTGGGCCCAAGTGCTCCAGAGAAAGGGAGGGTAGGCTCAGGCTCTCGCGTACACGGCTAAGGCCAGGGCCGTTGAGGTCCCGTTGGGTGGGGCCCCCATGGTCCCTGGGTCCTGGGAGCACCCCAAAATGATCAGCCAGGGTCCCCTGAAGGAGGGAACTATGGTCCTTGGGAAATACTGCCACAGCCCCCGCCACTCCGTGCTCTGCCAGTGGTGGGGTCGGGAAGGGTACAACCCCAGAGTGGTCAACAGGAGGCGGAGGAGGAGGAGGAGTGGAGAAAGGGACGCCACTCCCGCCACTGCTGCTATGTTCCCCAGGGGGCGGAGGAGGGGGTGGGGTGGGGAAAGGAACTCCGCTGTGCTCTCCAGGAGGAGGTGGGGCAGCATGGGCCAGGGCTGCCTCCTTTGTGAAGGGGTTCGAAAGATCCACAGAGGGTAGATGAGTGGGTGCATCTCGAGAGAAGATACCACCATGATCCTTAGGAGGAGCAGGTGGGGCAGATGATGGCCCCACTGGCTCTCTCTGGAAGGGTGTCCCATGTTCCAATGGGGACGGGGGGAGATGATGCTCAAATGTTGAGTTGAAACTGTTGGAACGAAAGCTGCCGACACTTTCCTGAAATTGGGGTGCTCGTTCTTTGTATGGTGCTGTTTTAAAGCCAGTGAGGCCTCCGCTGCCCCCACCCCCAAGGGATGCCAACTCAGAGGCACTTGAGGGGCCATTGTCAAAAGAGCTGCCTGAGGTGCTCAGATCAAACCAACCCACCCTTGAAGCCTCACGCCCATGTCCTCTATTTCCCTTCCCAGGAACTCGGATGGACTCTACAGTCTGTATTGGCTCCCCTGACATCCTCCTATTGGATGCATTATGATAACCCAAGGTCTCTATAGGGGCCCCCTTTTCTTCCGTACTATCAGGCAAGTCTAAGCAGGAAGAGGAGACTCGGGTCTCTATGCGGTAGTGCTCTTCTTGCTGCTGCTGATCACTGGCTGTCAAGCTGGGCTGGGAGAGGTTTGAGAGACTGACACCATCACTTGAAGTGCCCTTGCTGGGGGCCTGGCCAAAATGTTTATCATCTGAGGGCTTTCGTGAGGCATTTTTAAGCATATTCTTAAACTCAATCGTCGATGTGGTGGAAATGGTGGAGGCCAGGACTTTCTCCACGCCTGACGTGGGTGGGTGGCCCGTGGGAGCAGCAAGGGTATTCTGCGGAGAGAAAAGGGAACGATGTGGAACTGGGTGAGGAGAGTCTGGGTACTGCTTCTGTGGCAAACTGAGATGCCCAGTGGTAGACTGAGACAAGTTATTGTGGTTGGAGTCAGGGGTGAAAAATGAATCATTCTTACTCGGTGATGGTGACCGGTCAGGCCCAGGTTCATTCCCTCTTATGCTGAAGGCACCAAAAAGCCCAGGGGAAGACGAGAGACGGTCACAGTTCTCACTAGAGTCCAGGAGGGCCCTCACAGATGGAGGGAAGGCAGACTTTACCCCAAATTCTTGGCCCCTGTGGCTGTAACTGGACAAGATGGGCTGGTACTCGGTGGTATCAGAAAGCTTGCTTGATTTCAGGATAGATTTGGCTGGTTTCTTCTCTAGGTTCATCATGGCAGAGGGTGGAGGCCCTGAATACTCAAAATCTCGGTAATCTTCATCTTCCTGGAAAGAAGTATCTGGATAGAATTTCTCCTGTGAAGAGTCCATCAGGGAAGATGGTCTCTCCATTCCATCAGAAGGCTGCTTATAGGGTGATTCACTGCCCAGGCCAAAGGGTCGATATGTAGATACAGAATTGGAGAGCTCTCGAGGGTAGCTTTCCTCTCTCCCAGGGGGTGGTGATCTTGTACTGCTGGGTGTTGAGGAACCAGGGCTAATGATCTTAGAAAGCAGGGACATGGTATCTACACTGCTGGATGTGGGCTTGTCCATCATCTCATCCTGGGTGGGTGTCCCACTCCGTTCATCCCGCACAGGGGTTCCATCAATGTTGTCGATTGATGTGCTAGTAGGGCCACGCTGGAAGTCTGAGGGATGGCTTTCTGCTGGGGCACTGGATCCCAAACTGCTCAGGATTGGGATGTTTAAGTTTAAGCCACTGAAACCAGGATTACCTTTTAAGAAGTTGTGGATCTTCATTTCCAGGCTTGGGGAGGTGGACTCTGACTCCAGCTTTGGCTTGGAGATCTCTGAAGATTGGCACATGGCAACTTCAGTAGGTGGGGCAGCAGGGCTAGTATTGTGGGTACCTGTAAACCCCAGAGTGTTGGATGGTAGCTTGAAAGTAGAGCTGGGGAGCCCTGGGCTTTGCCCAATTGAGGCCTTGCTGGCTGAAGTTGAAGAGACTTCAGAAGTTGATGAATTAGGGGAATAGCTGAAGCTTTTCGGAATAAAGGATTGGGTATTGGAGGGCAGATTTCTTCCTTTTATGCTAGAGACTGTGGTGTTGGCAGGGGAAGCCGAAGTGCTCTGGGATGCAGCTTCGCTGGATGGAACTGGGTTCCCAGTAACACTCTGAAGTAAAGATGACAGGCCTGTAGAAACAAAGATTAGAGGAGTTAAAAAGAACTCCGTACCTTCCAATGAAAACAATGTAGGCTAATTGGATATTCTTATTCATTCCAGTGGGAACCAGATAGACATTAAAATATGAGATCAAAGGGAATCCAGACCAAACAAGTAATGGCTAAATGTCATAGAAAACATTGGACCTATTTATCAATATAAGAAGAGCAAATTTACTGAAATGTTTCTAGTAGTCATGAAACAAGTCCAACATGGCAAAATAAAAGGCAACAGGATGGGGGAGATTTTAGTGTCAGAATCATTCACAGTTTAAACAAGACAAAGCAGGAAAAGAAAGGTGCAAAATTACTTTTAAAGTAACACTTTAAGCCAGTATTTCTTAATGTTTGGTCTGTGGAACTGTTTCTCTAAATGCAAATAGATATTCTGCCCTATCCTTCCTTTCCAACCTCCACAACTGTCTCTAACAAGTTAACCTACACTGTTATTCTCAGGAGAGAGATAGCAATATGCAAATTGCAGGAATTTATTTGAACTGGGATGCTTTTTTCAAGGAGCATCTCTTGCCACACTGGTGTTATCTTTGGGGAAACAGAGCTTTGGTTGTAAAAATTTTAGTTGTAAAATGTAGCAATAATAAATATACAAACATACACCACAAAGCTTATACAGCTAGACCATTGGGGCACTGATTCTTTCACAAGAAAACATACAATCCCCTTCTTATAGCTTGGAAAATTCAAGGATTATTCAGGCTGACACTGATGAGATTCACCCCCACTCACTGACAGACAAAACCTTCTCAGAAGCACTGAGAAAGAATTCTTTGGGGCAAAGAAGACTAAAGTTCACCAAAGCAAACTGCTCTTGCAGAAAAATGCTTGGAAAAATACTTGATAAAGAGATAACAGAAGGTCCTTTATATTCAATCACATTTTGGAAAATCTCCTCAATTTCTGATCACAAATGAAAAGTTTATGTATACTTCACCTGAATTTACAGCTTTCAGTCATACATTAAAACTGTTCCTTCATAACGATATGTGAAAGAAAATAATATTTCATATGATACTTCAATTAATGTTTCTTCAAAATATCAATTTTTATCCTTATTTGCTAAGAGATTTAAGGTCTTAAGAATTTTAAGGTTGCTCCATCCTTGTGACATTTTCAAATCCCATCAACTTCTAAATAATGATGCACGGCTTTTATTACTATCCAGTGTTTGATAATATCCAAATAATTGAAATATTATTTCAGTTATTATCCTCCTGAAAAAAAAATCCATGTTTCATTTCCAAAAAGGTCCCTGGCTATATAATTTTCCCCTTCCTAACAGTTTGATTTAATTCTTAGTAGTAACTGCTCTTACCAAAACCAGAAGTCTTCAAGCACTAGAAAGTGAGATATGATAATATCATGATTTTAAAAAGATATTTCAGTATTATCTTTCAGCTGTTGTGAAATAAATTCTTCAGAAGACCATCTTCTTAACAAAGATACTACTCAGATTTCTGGTAATAGGTGAAATAATCTCTTACCGCTAAATATTAATTTTCTTCAATCTTAAACCATAGTCTACGGCCTCTGCCTACTGAAGTCATTCTTTTGTGCTGAAATCAGTCAATAAGGGCTGTGGGTGATTCAGAGCAAAGTTCTAAGAGATTTCCTTTATGGTCTTTGAAGAAATGTATCTATTTAAGTTGCCGGACACAGTTCTTTTAAAAGGCTAGGAGAGGGGCTTCCCTGGTGGTGCAGTGGTTGAGAGTCCGCCTGCCGATGCAGGGGACACGGGTTCGTGCCCCGGCCCGTGAGCCATGGCCGCTGAGCCTGTGCGTCCAGAGCCTGTGCTCCGCAACGGGAGAGGTCGTAACAGTGAGAGGCCTGTGTACCGCAAAAATAAATAAATAAATAAAATAAAATAAAATAAAAATAAAAGGCTAGGAGAATTCCACTTTCCATAAGGAACTGAAAGGTGATAAACTGCCCTGTTATTCCACAAAGCTTGTTTCCTGAGATTCCCACTTTTCATTTTGTCATAACACACCTAGTTCTGTTCAAATTTTGCCTGATGAGAAGGTCCACATGATACTATTGTTACAATCTGCTGAAAAAAAAGGCTTCTTCTTTAAGATCTAAGTATTATATCTATATAAGAAGTTAAAATACGAGTTCAAAATTTTTACTGTAACTACAGGATGGTGATAGAAGAAGGAGTGGAAAGTAGAAATCATATAAACATGCCAATCTCTCAAACTAATTATCCCTGAAATCAGTAGTATGAGATGCACTGTAGCATCATCATTAATTCTTTTGCGGGTTCCAATATGTAGAGCTGTGGATTACTATTTCACAGTATTTAGTTATGTGTAACAAAATTCTCTTACATGGTAAGACAAAGCTCACTATAATACAGTGCCTGGCGGATACACTTACAGAACAGTTTAGGAAATAAGAAAATTAACAGATACCTGTACTGCTGCTCTCTATTCATATAAAGCAGGATCTCAGCACCACTGACATTTGGGCGGGATACTTCCTTGTTGTTGGGACTGTCCTATGCATTGTAGGGTTAAGCAGCATCCCTGGCTTCCACCCACTAGAGGTATAGCACCCCGACCCCGACCCCAGCTGTGACAAACAAAAACGTCTTCAGACATTGCCAAATGTCCCCTGGAGGCTCCTGGTTGAGAACTACTGATAAAGAGTAAGTCACTATATTGAAGCTGTAATTCACTGCATAATTATACTGAGGTTGGTATCTGGAGGGTCTGAGAACAAAGAGCAAGGTAAGCTTTATGAAAAAATGTTAGAAGCAGATGGTTTTAGCACAAAACAAGATAATTAGCAAAGGTGAAGAGACAGGTGCAAATAAGGTAGTGATAATAGCTAGGCAGAAAATAAAAAAAGGTATGATATCTATAGAGGCCTCTATAAAACATTAGGACATGAAAAAAGAGATAATCATGTCTCATAAGAGTTCTGATAGATTGATCTTTCTTACTGTCTTTAGCTTCAGTTAACATTAAAATGTGTAGAACTCAACATGTACTAACTTATACTAAGAGGTTGGGATACATGGTTTAAGTAAAAGAATACTGGACTCCAGTCAAGAAATCTGGCTTTTAGTCTCAGCTCTTCACTGAACAGACAGATGTGTGATTTTAAGCAGGTCACATCACCTCACTGAGTGTTAATTTCCTCACCTGAGGAGGGTATCGGACTAGAGGACATTTAAAGTCTCTTTCAGCTTTGACATTTCAGAATTCTATAAATGTCAGTTTGTACATGATAAAGAGAATAATGAATTATTCTGAATTATACATTTCATAGCTTTGGATTCCTCAGAAATGGAATCCAGGATTAAGCCAGAGACAAACATTCACGATTCAAGTCCCTCTAGCGCATGTCAGTTTACCTTGCAGTGCAGGGGCTGACTGTGTCTGGGTTTTGGAAAGAGCAGACAGAATGCTCTCTGGGGTGATCTCCACCTTCGAGAGGATATTTGCTAGAGGGTTATGAGATGTTGTCGTGGCAGGTGCAGGTGTTTTCAGACCACTGGTGAGGTTGCTGGGACTTGCAGGAGTTCCTGGAGAAGGTCTTGATGCAGGACTGACCCCTGGTGGCAGAAAGATTAACTCAAGAAAATGAAATTCAAAATGACCTATAAATTCATGATACTTTCCAGTCACTTAATTGAGTATGGTATGTTCAATAGGAATTCTTCTGGGAATGACCCACAAATTGTCCATCTTGTACAAAGAGAAAATCTGAAAATTAGATTAAGACTTGCTCCTATCTACTTGGAACACTGTTAAATTAGATAAGTATTAAGTTATTTTTTTTCATATGTATTTACTACTTTTCAGAGTCCCAATAGAGACCAGAGAACCTATTTCTTTTTTCTCTACCAAATGGAACCTACACCTCAGACTCCTCTAAGTGCTCAACAGATATTGCTGGCTAATTATGATCAGACTGGGCCACTGCATAATTCTATGTGATAAGTAAGTTATTTCCTTTTGAAATGGACTTTAAAATGAGGGTTATATAAGCAATCTTTATGTTTACATTTTAAAATACTGGGTTGATTCTTAACATAGGAAAAATGGTATATAAAGAAGAAATGATTTTTGATTTTTTTAACATCAAAAATATAGACAGGTATTTCACACAAAAAAATGATAAGCATATGAAAGAAATTTTAACCACATCTTTAATCAAAGGAATGCAAACGAACAATTTTTTTAAGACTGAATTTGACAAAGTATAAAACAAAACAGGTTGGAGAGGTTGAGGAACAATGGGAACTTTCATATACTTGGTACATAAAATAGTACGTTTTTTGGAGATCATTTTAGTTATAACATGAAAAGACTTAAAAACCTACATGCTGAATTTTTTGGAGTCTTTATCTTTTAGAAATACTTAGTTATTTATGAAGAAATGAAATAATTGGGATTTTCTTCAAAATAATCAGGATTGGATAGGGCATAGCAGAAACAAGATTGGCCATGTGTTTACAGTGTTGAAGATGAGTGATGAGCATGTAGAGGAGCTCTACTTTATTTATCTTCATTAAATCTTCCATTAAAAGAAGTCCCATATACTTATCAACCCTTTTAAGAAGGGTTGTGCATAAAATTTTAGCATCAAGGTTGTTCATTACAGTATTCTTTATAACAGCGAAAAACTGGAAACACACTAGATGTTCTGATAATAAAGGCTTACATAAATTATTGAATGCTATTAAATGATATAGCTGAATGTTTAATGACTTACAAAAACATCCATGATAAGTAGTTAAATTTTAAGTAGTTGCTTTCAAAAGAGTACAGTTGTCCCTCGGTACCCATGGGGGGTTGGTTTCAGGACTCCTGAATATATCAAAATCTGTGGATGCTCAAGTCCCTTATAAAATGGTATAGTACTTGCATATAACCTATGCACATCCTTCCATATACTTTATTTATTTTTGTTTGTTTGTTTGCCATGCCACATGGCTTGCTGGATCTTTGTTCCCTGATCAGGGATTAAACCTGGGCCATGGCAGTCAAAGCACCGAGACCTAACCACTGGACCGCCAGGGAAGTCCCCGTCCTTCCATATACTTTAAATCATCTCTAGATTACTCATAATACATAATACAATATAAATAGTTGTAAATACAATGTAAATGCTATATAAATAGTTGCTGGGGCATGACAAGTTCAAGTTTTGCTTTTTGGAACTTTCTGAAAAAAGTTTTCCCCCAAATATTTTCAATCCATGGTTGGTTGAATCCTTGGATGTGGAACCTGCAGATGCAGAACCGGTGAATATGGAGGACCGACTGTATACGCAATATGCTTCAATTACTGAAAGAAAAATTATTACTAACATTTTATTTCCCAAAACACACACACACACACACACACACACACACACACACACGCACACGCACACATACACGCACACTTGTAAGGTTAAACACAAGTGGTTTCCTTTGGGATGGCAGAATTATGGATATTTTATTCTTTTAACTTATCTTCTAATTTTTCTATGATGACCACGTAGCGGTATGTATGTATGTATGTATTTATTTATTAATTATGGCTGCACTGGGTCTTAGCTGCGGCATGCATGTGGGATCTAGCTCCCCGACCAGGGATGGAACACAGGCCCCCTGCACTGGGAGCGTGGAGTCTTACCCACTGGACCGCCAGGGAAATCCCTATTTTTATTTTTTAATTAAAAAGTTACTTTTAATTAAAAAAAAAAAACAAAACCCAGACTGATGGTTCAATTAGAAAGGTGGAAATAAGCCTTTTATCTTCTTTACTAGGGCTACTTACCAGTATTTTTCATGACTGATGTCAGGCTGCTAAGGATGGAACTGATCTTTGCCAGATCCACATTAGCCAGGTTTGGCAAAGCCAGTGCTGGAGTAGGGGAGAGAAGAGAAGTATTCACAGGCTTTGGAAGAGGTGGGGTTGCTGTCATGGTCACAGGCACTGGAGTGCATGAAGAGGCCTTTGAGATACTTTCTGTTGGCTTTGTAGGTACAGCAGTGGATACAGCTGACTTCTCCACAGGTTTTTCCTTCCTGTCTTCTACTGTTTAAAAAAAGAAAAGAGATAGTATTGCATCTTACTACTTTCCAGACTCTCCTTCCAACATGTCCCAATATTTCCTAAAAAGTACTATGCTTTACAGAAAAATCATTCATGATTTTTTAAAAAAGTCATGCTCTTTATCATTTATGAACCTTCCCACCTTTAATAGCTGCTTAAAATGAATTCCCCAAATGCATCTTTTATCTTACATTTAATGATTTCTTTACATCTTCTTAGTATCTGTATATTAAATTTGTACATTTCTGGAAGCATGTTATTATTTGGTACACATTTGTGTTCTGTCTTTCGGTAATATTTATGTCATAAATTGTCCTGTCTTTTCTTTGCCATTATTAACCTGAGAGCTTTCTAAGAAACAGAAACTCTGTACATATGTTAATGTATTATCCTTTGGCCTCCTGAAATTGGTCTACTGGGGGTGCAATCAGGCACTAATGCAATGTTTTAACTCTTGATGCCTCTGCAATACTTTCCTCTTAATACTTTAAAGGCAATGCACTATGTGGATAGTTCATTAAATTCAACCTAAGTCAAACTGCCTAATAAGAATAATTATAAAAGCTGGGGATGTCAGAGAAACAGTTCACCAATCCAGGTTAATTCTGAAAGTGTGGTTAACAAAATGTGGCTTTGGAATCTTGAAGATCAAGAGTGACAGAGAATAAGGAATTCCAGCATAAGTGGCCCTCCCTTTAGAGCAGTGCTGTTCAAAAGAAATGTAATTCAAGCCACATATGTAAGTTTAAATTTTCTAGTAACCATATCAAAAAAAGAAAAACAGGTAAAATTAATTTTAATTATATATTTTACTTATCTCAATATAGCCCAAATATTTTCATTTTAATAAGTTATAAATATAAACAATTATTGAGATATTTTCACTCTTTTTCAAAGCACCAAGTTCCTAGAATCCAGTGTGTATTTTGTTTTGTTTTTGTTTTTGCCACACCACGTCGCTTGCAGGATCTTGGGTCCCTGGCAGCGGAAGCACGGACTCCTAACCACTGGACCACCAGGGAATTCCCTGAACAGCACAGATCTTAAGCAATGATTCTCAACGTACGTGGCATACCAAATCCTGAACCACTGCTCTACAGACAATACTACTACCTTGGTGTTCTAATTTTATGAGGATTAAACCATCTTTTAATACCTGCCTGTGATAGATTTATTGGTGGGGAAGGCAAAACATAAGGAGCAAGTTGTCCACTAATCATATAGGACATACCAATGATTTTTGACCCATCATCTTCCACATCTGAGAGTTCCATGTCTTCCACATCACGATTATCTGTTGCAGGCTCAGGTGTGGCAGATTTCTCACTCTCCATGGTTGGTGACTGGGATTCCTCACCTCCCATTCCTTGAAAAGGAGACTCAGAGCCAGTTGGGGAGGGAGCATCCATGCTTGGGGAAGGGACTGGTGATTCCTCAGGATCAGGAAGGGTTGACTTCAATTGATCCAGCTTTTTCTTTAAATTGTTCACTCGATTAGCGAAGGTTTTATATGCCTAAAAGAAAAAGAAGAGTTTACTCCTCTGAGAAGTAACCAAGAAGCTACCATTTTGACTTGATCAGATTTCTTCATTATTATTAACTATATCAGTGGTATAAAACAAGAAAATATCATCTGTCAAGCATGGAGTAGTTTCCAATCTCTGCTTTTTATATCCCCTAAGTCAATATTACCATCCACAGCTGCCCAAGTTAGAGACTTAGAAGTTATCTGCAATTCATCCTCCCTTGCTCCACTGTATCTCTCCAAGCAACCAATATTTATCAAGAGCCTAAATGTGCTGGCCACTCTTCTAGGTACTGGAGATACAGCAATGACTAAGAAGACAAAAATCAAATCAATAAATAAAGCATAGCCTGAGAGGTTAAATACTATTGATTTTTTTTTTAAAAAGAAACTGTTTATTTAAAAAGTTTTAGGTGTACAAAATTACTGTGAAGATAAAATAGAGTTCCCATATAACCCACACACAATTTTCCCTATTATTAACACCTAACATTAGCATGATACATTTGTCACAATTAATAAACCAATTTTGATAATTATTATTAACTAAAGCCCATACTTTATGTGTATTTCCTCAGTTTTTATCTGATGTTCTTTTTCCATTCCAGGATCCCATAATTTAGTAGTCACATCCCCTAGGCTTCTCTTGTTTGTGACGGTTTGTTAGACTTTCCTTGTTTTTGATGAACTTGACAGTTTTGAAGAGTACTGGTCAGGTATTTTGTAGACTGTCTCTTCACTGAGGTTTGTCTAATGTTTTTCTCATGATTAGACTGGGGTTATAGGTTTTGGGGAGGAAGACCACAGAGGTAAAGTGTGATTGTCATCACATCATATCAAGGGTACATACAATCAATACAATGTACCACTGTTGTTGTTAACCTTGATCATCTGGCTTAAATCCTATTCATCTGATTACCTTAATTGCCAGTGTCTTGAAGCTGTGTGTCTTTTTCTTTTTTTTGTTAAGGGTCTTGGAACATTAGATTGTGGCATCATTTTGGTTGGCTGCACAAGAAGCATTATTTTAAAAATGGAGTGGAACGGAAAATAATATGCTAGAATTGAGATTTTGTTTCATAATTGAGTAGTTTGTAGCACAGCAAATGCTCCCATCAAGAACAACTAGAAAAGCCAGATATATACACATACATATCTATACACACTCACACGCACGCACGCACGTGCACACACACATATTTGAATGTACTGTAGAGTGCTAAGGCAACAAAAACCCAAGTGGCAAATTCTATAGCAGGGGGAAACCATGAGGAGAGTCAAGCTGACATTCTGCAGCTGCTTTTTCTCTCAGGGTCCTGCTGATTTTGGGGAGTTAGGCAAGAATTTGAGAATTCAGGCAAAAGGAAAAGGCAGAGGGTTACTACTAAATAATATAAAGAAAAAAGGAGAACTTTTAAAAGTCTTGCTGACCTGTAGAGATAAATTAGAAAAAATTAGAAAGGACAAAATTTTGATGAAAGAGGAAGGACAGAACTGGCTCAACAATATGCTATTGCTTTTCCTTCAAGATGTTTGCTGATAGATAACCAACAAGGACCTACTGTATAGCACAGGGAACTTTACTCAATATTCTGTAATAACCTACAGGGGAAAATAATCTGAAAAAGAACAAACATATGTATAACTGAATCACTATGCTGTACACCTGAAATTAACAGAACACTGTAAATCAACTATACTCCAATTAAAAAAAGATATTTGCTGAATTATGAAGCTTGCTTAAGAGGGAATTAAAGAAGTCAAGCAGAAAAATTCTGAAAAGCAAAGCGGAGTTAAACATAGACTCATGGTGCAGAAGAGACAAGGATTAGCATTCAAATCACACAACGATGGAGGGGCCCTAGTGATGTCGTAGGCTCTCAGTGGGAAAAAATCTGTGACTTAGAAGCTGGATGAACCACAGAAAATCAAGTTTGCCCAAACTGCAATTCAGCCTGAAGTCAGTTCAGTTTCAGATTTGATTAATATGATTAGCTCTTGGACTTCCCTGGTGGCACAGTGGTTAAGAATCCGCCTGCCAATGCAAGGGACACGGGTTCGATCCCTGGTCTGGGAAGATCCCACATGCCATGGAGCAACGAAGTCCATGTGCCACAACTACTGAGCCTGTGCTCTAGAGCCCGCGTGCCACAACTACTGAGCCTGCGTGCCACAACTACTGAAGCCTGTGTGCCTAGAGCCTGTGCTCTGCAACAAGAGAAGCCACTGCAATGAGAAGCCCGTGCACCGCAGTGAAGAGTAGCCCCCGCCTACTGCAACTAGAGAAAGCTGTGCACAGCAATGAAGACCCAACGCAGCCAAAATAAATACATAAAAAATAAATAAATTTTAAAATATATATATGATAAGCTCTCACAATATCTGCCTAGCAAAGGAAAGGGTGAATCCTTTCTGCAGGAAGAGAAATCACTGAGACTCCAGAAGTATTTTCATATACAATGTTCAGGATTCAATAAAAAATTAGCAAGCATGCCAAGAGATGAAAGAAAAGACAGACACTATGAACAGACTCAAAACAAGTATAGCCAACATTGGAATTACCTAGCAAAACCCAAATAGCTATGATTTATACGTTCAAGAAAATATAGAAAATCCCATCTTGAACAATTCAGTCCAAAATTCGTTAGCAAGACTTGAAGGGAAGCCTTGGTCGCCTAGGTTAGGTAACGGAGCCAAAATAGGGTGAGGAAAATGACTGTATGGGAGGAAGGCATTGCATGGGATGTTGAAGCCTAAGTTAGATAAAAAGAAAGCCAAGAGAGATGGCTGGGAGGGATGGAAGTGCTGGAAAACTGGCTATACACATGGGCAATGATCAAATAAGTGATTATGTTGAAGATAAGGGGAGCAAGATTTTACATTTTTAGAAAAAGCAATTATAAATGTGGAAACGGAGAAAACTAGAATGAACCTTGTAGTGTTAGACTGGGATTGGAGATAATAGTGTGAACTCATGGTTTCTGACATATATAGACAGATACAGAAATATATATAGATGTAAATGTGTGTATACAGGTTAAATACACACACACACACACACACACACACACATATTTCCTACCTCTGTACACTGATATGGTCTGGAAGCAGTGATATCCCAATAGTAATAAGTACACCTAGTACTCAGATCTTGGTTTCAAAATATGGTTTTTCACTAAAAGGAACCAAGGCTCTTTGGAGAAATGACTGATTCCCGGGCTGGACAGAAAAGTGCAAGATGAACCTGGAAACGCTCAAAAAATGATGGGGATATGTCAAAAGAACACAGAAAGCGGCTTGAAAGGAGCTCCCACTGGGACAATTTGAGCATCAAAATAATTATTTTGCAATGAATCAGTAGTTAGTAATGAATTAGAACACTGACTAAATACGACTGAGTCCATAGTGATATAAATAAATGAATAAACTGAAACTTTGAAGAGGAACAAAATATTTGCATAGTTTCAAAACACCTCCCCACAAGACACTTATTAATTAGTGTATGGTTTCCTAGTGTTGTGGTACTTTATTACTGAGTGGCTTAAAACAACAGAAATTTATTGTCTCATAATTCTGGAGGCTAAAAGTCCAAAATCAAAGTGTGAGCAGGGCTATGATCCCTCTACAACTGAGCAGAATCCTTCCCTGCCTTTTCCTAGCTTCTGGTGGTGGCCATCAACCCTTGGAATTCCTTGGCTTGCAGATGCATCACTACAATATCTGTCTTGGTTGTCACATGATATTATTCCTGTGTGCATCTGTATCCAAATTTCCGTCTTCTTACAAGGACACCAGTTATATTGGATTAAGGCTCATCCTAATGACCTCATCTTAATTTAAGTACATCTGTAAAGACCCTATTTCCAAGTAAGGTCATTTTCACGTGTACCAGAGAGTTAGGGCTTCAACATTATCTTCTGGGGTACACAATTCAACCCACAGCAATGACCAAGTGAAAACTTTTCAGTGGACAAGCTGGGAAGATGCCACACTAATAAGATACGAAAGGGAATGTTACAGGTAGTAAGACAAATCAAACTTGTGTGCTAACTGAAAGGATGAAATGAGAAGAACACAATCACTTCTGTGATATTCCTACTAAAGATATATAACCTCAATCTGATCAAAAAGAAACATCATATAAATCCAAATTGGGGGACACTGGACAAACTATTTGACTTGTAATCTCCAAACATATTTAGGTCATGAAAATTAAAGAAAAGACTGAGGAACTGTTCCAGATCAATGGAAAATGGAAATGCAATAAATGAAACCTCTGATTCTGGACAGGAGCTTTTGTTATAAAAAGTGGTCAATTTGAATAGGGGCTGAGGATTAGATAATAATGCATGAAATGTATCAATTAATTTCATGATTAAACAGCTACACCTTATGGTTATGAAGGAGAAAATAATTGTCTTGGAGGAAAATACTCATGAAAATATTTGTGGGTAATGGGGTGTCAGCAACTTTTTTTTCTTTTTTTGGGGGTGTGTGTTTATTTTTATTTATGTATATATTTACTTATCTTCATTCTTTTTTTAATTAATTTTTATTGGAGTATAGCTGCTTTACAATGTTGTGTTCGTTTTTGCTGTACAGCAAAGTGAATCAGTTATACTTATTTTCAAATGACTCCCCCCCACAAAAAGGTCTTCATAATATACTTAAGTTATTTCTTTAAGTTTGAGAGTGTTACAAAATAGAACAAAGAAGACTGAAAAAAAATGAGAGAGGAAAAAATGAAAATAGACTGACAGAATTTTACCAGAAAAATTGAATTATTTCTGAAGAAAAATCAAATGGCAATTCTAGAACTGAAAAATAAGCCAACTAAATTAACTGATGGGTTAAACAATAGATAAGATTCAGCAGAAGAGAAAATTAATGAATTAGAAGACTGGTTAATAGAAAATATCTAGAAGGGAAGCACCGAGGAGAAAAGGATAGAAAATACAGAAACTAACATAAAAAGACATTTGGAACACT